AAAGAACATGATGTGTTTGACTATAAATTTATTTGAAGGGACAATGTATGATAATAAAAAACATTGATGGATCTAATATAAAGTGTGTATTATACAAATACAAAAAGATGGTACAAACTTTTATTTATAGTCCACAGAATATTTAAACATTTCCACAATATTCTGCATATGAAGTTGCTTTTGACATTAAATGTGTGAATAAAAGAATTTCAATTTCATTGGTATGTGCTCAATAGAAAACTTATTTATTCATTTTGTCTCTGCTAAAATAACTATTTCATGTTATTTAAATACATAAATTTGGTTATAAGTGATTGATTGATGATTTTTCTTTTTCTCAAATGAGTAACTACACTCAATGTTTATTGCATTATTATATATAATAAATGTGGGGAATTAGTATTGGGGAGGCCAGATGCACTTTGCATTTGATATATGTTCTCCTTTTTTATATTAGAATGTTGCCTTTGGATAGTTTGACATAAGTTGCTTCAAGTAATAGAAGATGTGACTTATGGAAGGATCTCTTTTATGGTAGCAAACTAAACTTTATACATTTTCCAATGACTTTTTGACCTTCACAGGAATCAAGAACAAACCTAAATGAACTTTACTCACCATGTTTACAATTTTATACACCATCTTATACTTAGAATGACAGTAGTTGGATGCTTGCAGCAAAATTTCTTTCCCAGGGCTAGGGAGATAGCTTAATTAGAAAATGCTTACTATATAGGTCTAGACATGTTAATTCAATTCCAGCACCCACCAAAAATGGCTGTAGGGGCAGAGACAGGTAGATGCAGGGTGCTTGCTGGCCAGACAGTCTCTTACTGAGTTTGATCCATGAGCCCCAAGAATCCTCCTCCCAATGAGATATTCCATTTCAAAAAAAGTGGGCAGATCCTGAAAAATGACAGCTGAAGTTGACCTTTGGCCACTTGTGTATGTATGTACCATGCACACACACAAACATAAATACAGAGATGCACACCATCCCAACACAAAATCTATTCTTCCAGCTTCTTGGAAAGTAAATGTGTATGTCCTTGAAAAATTAAACTTCTTTCCCCTTGTTAATAATTTCCACTTTTGCATAAAATTAATATAAGAATATAAAAACATATGCTGCAGATTATTTGTAAAATTCTTTTGTTAATAAAGACAATCTCTGATCTGCTTTTGTAGGAGGTAAAAAACATATGAACTGTATTGAATGTGTGGGAGGGTACAGCAGAATTATTCTACTGAATGCAAAGACCCATGAATAGCTTTGCTCTCTTTTTTACTGATCTGTAACCCACACCCTGTGACTATCCCCAGCCACATTTCATTTGCTTTGCCCTCATTTTTACATATATGGATTTTAATGGAAGTTCATAAATTGTTGAAAACAATAACAGAAGTGCTAACAAAGATGCACCAGAGAATTATTAAACCATTAAATAGGACTCTGTGTTCCAATGAAGCAACATGTAATTAATCTTAGTGTTTTATTTCTGTTAATAAATCTATATATTTTAGAAGATGCATTTCACTGCTCAAATATTTCTTTTCAATATTTTAATATTATATGTATATGTTACTTTATTTTTAAGAAAGGTTTCTAATCACTCTTCTTCCTCAATTTCTTCATCTCCCCAACCCTAAGAAAATATTCCTATTCCTATTAAAAAGATATTCAACTTATGAGAGAAGTAAGTGCTCAGTAACTTTTTAAAGTGCACATAGTATTAAATAGTACTAAATTCTTTAAGGGGCTTTATAAAAAATATTTACACATGAAATCAGATACTATTACATGTTTCTCTTTTGTGTACATAAGTATCTTGACCCTGATTTATAATAGATACATATATATATATATATATATGTATATATATATAAAATATAGTTATAGAAATTAAAAGATAGTGTTTTCAAAGAAACAAACTTTTTTGCCCATTCATACTATTTTAATTAAATAACATTTTAATTATCACTTTGTTGATCATTACTAAGAATTCACATTGTAAAATAATACATCTTGATGTATTGCTTGTGTGTATGTATTCATGCACATGTGAGCACATTTGAATAGTGATCAGAGGTTGGCTTCATGTGTCTTTCTCAGTCACTCTTTGCCTTGTTATCTGAGAAGAATGTTTTTCTTACTGAAACTGAAATTGACCTGTGTCCCCCACCCTGGCCCTGGAATTATCGAAGCATGCTGTCATACCTGGATTTAATACATGGGTGCTGGGTATCTGAACCCAGGCCCTTTTGCTTGCATGGCAAGTGCTTAACCAACTGATTCATCTCTTCAGCTTAGCCCTTCATGATGTGTTTTCATTGAAATGGTTGAAAACAAAAAGCATCTAACTTGCCTAGCAACAAATCATACAATACTTCAGATCAGCTCATGGGCTGCTTAGGGACTTTCCAAATCTCTGACTTACAGAATCCTTTATCAAGGACTTACAGTTTCCTGCTATTGATACAGATCTCTCCCTCTTGCTTGTTCCCCTCTCTATGCCTTATTTCTCTGAGACTGCTCAGATTCTCTTGGGTGCACAGGACATAAGGAGCTGAAGCATCACAGGCCATTGCACACCATTCCATCAATGTTCTCCCATTGGCCTTGGATTTCTTTGTAATTGTCTTGAATTGGCAACAATTTATTAATCTCATAAAATGTTCTTACCTCATTCCCTACCTATTGTGAATTCATTAAAATGGGCTTTGCTAACTAAACAAAATGTATTGTTGCTTGTATAAGAGTGTTTTAGCTTCCTAAAGCAATGAAATGTTTTCACTGACCTGAGAGCATTTATTGTACAAGAGAAGCAATTCAAAGACTGTCCTTCAGTTTTAACAATTCCCTAAAGTCTTCCATATGAAGATTTATTGGGTTAGTTATAGTATAATATGCAGGGAATAAAGCCTTGATTTTATAATATATAATGTAATAATATAAAAATATTACATAATTTAAACCTGAGCCCTGTTCATTCCCTTTCTAAGCACATGAGATCATATTTAGCAATATCCCACAATTTAAAGTATTTTGACTTTATATCTAGCATTTCATGAGAAAGGCATGTCACTGCTTATAAAAGGAGATCAGGGAAGCACGTTAAAGAGCACACATATGCTTTTACCCTTAAGATGACATTTTACATTTTTGTGTATCTTTTCACAGACTAAGATCCAATGGTCTAGTAGTGATGTAACTATTAAAAGGATATAAGACATAGCCCTGGCACAACTCAGATAATGTGTACGTTCATTTAGCTAATGATGGAGTGGAATCTCACAGACTGTGTTTTTCCCAACTATGTAAGTTCAGTTTTAAATTGTCCACATGCAACAGAAATTAGACATTTGAGTCAGATCCATAAGGGAAACAGAATGAGAACAAACAAATAATAGATCTGTATTGTTCTTTCCAGTGTTAACGGAAAGAAGGCAACATCTAAGGGGCATGTAGAAACAGTCATGTTTATGATTTTCAAGTAGCTGAGCCTCTGCTCTTGGCTAACATCATGAACTCTTTCTTTAGAACAGCTGTCTCTCACTCTGGAAGACCAGTCTGCCCTTGTAGGACAGTCATTTAGATAGGAGGATTTTATACTGAGAACTTGCTGGCAGCAGCAGTCTCATAACACATTTTTCTGATAATTCTCTACGTCATCTCAATACAGATGGCTGTATTCGATTCTGATAGCCTTTGAATTTATATTTCATTTTGCATGTTTCTTCCTACATATCACTCAAATACTTTTTCAAAAAAAAAAGTTTTGAATATCCACCAAAGAAAGTGAAGATGAATACAGTGTACTTGGGCATCAATTATTTTTTTTCATTTGTATCATTTTTATTAATGTCAGTAATTATACTTACTATGGGGATATAATATATTTTAACAGATGTACACAATATGTTCTTTTTTATCTTTTTTTCATTATTTATTTATTTATTTTATATAACCAAGTCCATTTAAATGAAAACAAACATTTATAGACAATATTTGGGAATTTGGGCATTGTTCTTTCCAAACTGCTTCCTGCTGGTAATGGGGGATTCGAAGAAGATGCAGAAATCCTGGCTGTAGTCTATAGGGCTGCTTTGTCCAGCTGTTTTGAATGTAGGATCACCTGGTACTCTGTTTCAGGCGGTCTGGCTTGATCAAACCACATTAGTCTGGAAGGAATCCACATCTTTTCATTTTCTGTGGAAACAAAAATAGAAATCCTTTACCCCAGTAACTTATCCTTGAACTTAAATTTTGGAGTCAAAGCATTTTTTTTAATTTAATTTATTATTTTACATGTTGATCCCAGTTCCCTCTCCCTCCCTCCCTCCTTCCCTCACTTCCTTCCTCCTTCCCTCCCTTTTACCCTCTCAGCCCTCTCACATGCACCCTAACCACCCTCTCCTCCCCTCCCTCCACCCCAATTCCATATGTAGGGGAATGCCATCCAGTTGGGGTCATGTAGATCTGACAGGTCATGTGAAGTAGCAATTATAATTAACTTAGATTTTTCCAAACTCCTGTTTTCTATGGTAGGCCATTAATTGGAATAAGTGCAGGTTGTAAGGATCTGCTGTAGGGATTTTTTTTTTTTTTTTTTTTTTTTTTAGTCAAAGCAACTAAGTGTTTAAACTTTCAAGAGATAAAAATACCAAGCAATTAATTAAGTTTTCACAGATTCCTCACATATTAAGTTAGCTGCGGATAGGATTTTGGATGCAGATGTATTTTCTTGTATTGGGGCCATTTCTGTATGAAACTTTCCTGCTGTATGCTGGAAAGAGCCAGTCTGTGTAGAATCCCCCACCCTATGACTATGCCTCAGAACACAGTTAACAAGGAAAGTGGTTTTATATGAATTAGTGATGTTTATTAAACAGGCAGGATGCTAAAGGGAGAAACTACAATTATGGTTACAGCATTCATTGCATGGCATGAATTTGTTTTCTCTTTTCCAATTGTTTGTTTTTGTGTTTTGTTGAAACAGGGCCATTTTGGAATGCAGCTTCTTTTAATACAGAAGCTTCCTACCTCCACTTCCCCACACTCCATGGAGAACTCAGTGCTGATGTGTCCTTCTTCTTTAAGACCACAGCCCTCTCTGGGGTGTTTTTAGAGAACCTGGGAATCAGTGATTTCATACGAATAGAACTACGCTGTAAGTGGCCTTTCTGAAAGAGTCTTGGGATACTGTCATCTAGTCCTGAATTCTTCACTTAACTTTGCAAGAAAATAATTTGTGATAATTTTGTAAAAATATTGATAAATTCATTAGCATGAAATAAAAATTTAAATTGAAGTAATTAAAATTTAAAACAAATTTTGTTAATGACTAATATTAATTACAAAATTACTTAATGAACCACTTATTATTTTGATATATTTACAGTCTTCTATTAATAGCATAATATCAAATGCATGTTTCATGCTGTTAAATTATATAAACTTTGAGTCAATTAAGCAATTATTTTGCATAATCAATTATAGATGCTAGTTTTGTGCATTCTCTAAATAGTTTTAATCTTTATCGATATGAAAAATTAAGTCAGAGATTGAACTTCTAAAGAACTGTTATTTTTATCCACAAAATGTATCTTACTGCCTCATTCCATATTGGGAGAGTTACATCTAATTGGATGTCATTGTTTCCTTCTAAATGCAAGTCTTGAGTCTAATTATTGTTGTGTGATATTGTCTTACATACCTCATATCTAATATTTTTAGCACCCACAACAGTAACCTTTTCATTTGATGTGGGGAATGGACCGTTTGAAATCTCAGTGCAGTCACCCACTCACTTCAACGATAACCAGTGGCATCATGTGAGAGTTGAAAGGAACATGAAAGAGGCATCACTCCAGGTGGATGAGCTCTTGCCAAAGATACAAGCTGCTCCCACTGATGGTCATGTCCTCTTACAGCTCAATAGTCAACTTTTCGTCGGTAAGTTTCTTGTTTTTTTTTTAAACAAACAAACAAACAAACAAAAAATACTGAATGTATGCTGCAAGCCTAGAGATGAGACACAACAAAATAATCCCAGCTTGAAAAATGATGATAAGTAGCAAGCAGCAAAAACAAAGCAGGATTTATTGAAAATCCAGGTTTTAGTCTGTGTGAGGTACCCTATTCCTTCCTAATAACCAATCCAAGCAATAGGTATTATCCCTATCCTAGAATAGGATGACTGTGGTGCAGAAGATGACTTATATCCAGAAAGATATAAATTAAGAAGTTCAAATATCTCTGTGACTATTTGCTCACTCTGCATAATTTTCTACTTAATATGTAGAGGTTCTATGATTTGTTATAGTTTGTGTAATACATTGAGGCTTTTAGTATAAACTTGGAAATGAGTATCTCTATATTCAAATATGAGGAGCCCTTGTAATGCTAGCCAGTGGCCACCACTGATGTGCCTCAACCTGTACACCTTGCATCAAAACCAGGCCAATGGTAGGAAAGGAAAAAAGATAGACAGTGCTCAGCTTCAGCAGCTTATTTTCTATAGTGCACATTTTCTTAGCTCTTCTCTAATACCTTAATGCATATTGTCTCCCCAATGTCCGTTGACTCAACATTTGCAAGACGCCAGGCTGGAATTCCTCTCCATGTGTTTAATTTTCCTTTGTTAGTGTGCTAAATTACTTTGCAGAAGTTATGGACCATGAAGTTCAGGGATTATCTTTAATTTGATCCCAGCTCATACATTTTAATGTAAATAAGAACTCAGAGACACGGTAAGGCAAGATAAATGATGAATTATCAGAAATTATATTCCAGACATCTTTAATGTCTGTATTTAGAACAGAATTCATCATCTCCCTCCTTACACCTTCTGTTGCCTAACAATCTTATTAGCACCCTTTCACTGAAAGGGATGAGCTTGCTTGTAACATAGCTGATGAAGATATATTTAGGTCTTCTAATAAATTTATGTCCTCATTATTGTCATTATTTATTCTTTCCCTGAAAACAAATTTAATGAACAGCTTCCACAACTAAAACACCCTAATAGATATTCTACTCACAAACTTGTGGCCACTCAGCTGGCTTATTTAAGAGTATAGAAACAATAAAGTACACTTGAGCAGAAATATATAACTTTTTTCTTAATGTCATACTAGAAGCTCAGTCAGAAATGGACATAGATATCTCTTGAATTCTTAAAAAAAAAAAAAAACGGAGAGATGGTCACAACAAAAAGGTACTGCAATTTAAAATCTGTCAGTGGCTTGGAAATAGCCTTACTATTCTTGGAAATTGAGAAGGCTGAAATTGTCCTCAGATTTTTCAGTGAAATATGCTGCAGTTTGCCTGGAGATGACCTTTCCTCCTTGGGAGGAATTTCAACTTCCCAGAGATGGCATCACTATATATTGCACCTGATAGGAATCCTGGCCTTAATTTGATTTTAGGTGACAGTAATGAAGTATCTTATGACATCAGAAAACTGCATTGAACAGGCTAAGGTCTTTTGCCATCAATCATATGCAATAATTTGAATAAAGATCGAATAGATTTCATCTTTATGGAGGCAATTAGTTGGGCCTTTGACATCTCCATATGTGTTCAGCCTTAGAGTGGCTTTGTCACTGGGAAATTTTAACAATGGAAATCTTAATTATGTTTAAGTCAAAGGCAGTGGGGAAAAATAGATCTTTATCCCCCCAAAAGTTCTATTTTCAATGAATAAAGATCTTCATTTGTATTTAAAGGCAACTGGGGTACAATGACATGATATAGTGTAATGGTACCCGACTATCAAAATGCCACCTAAGGGGCTGCTTTTGTTGTTATGCCTACCCATCAACTAGACCACTCTCCAGAGAAGACAGCTTTCCAGTTCACAAAACAATTCACACACACAAAATATTAATCTTCCAATTTACAACATTCCTATCAAACAAATCATGATATTTCTTTCTTTCTTTCTGCCTTTCTTTTTAAGTTTGCTGATAGAGAGTTTTTGCCTTACAGGCAGACTCCATGAGAGGCAAATTATAATTAAAAGGTTACACTGAATTAGAGCTCAGTGGGTGGCAGACTAGCAAAAAAATTGGCAGTAATTAGAGAGAGTTTAATGAAGCACTTACTATGAGCAAAAAGTTCTCTGCCTTCCTCTCAATGTATTTCAGTGGAAGAGATAAAAGTAGCCAATGGTGAGAATGAAGGGAAGATATGCTACATATATATTTATACATACATGTTTATATATGCTTGCACACACACCACGTACATACACACATATTTCTTTCTTAATTTTTTTATTAATTTATTTTTCACATTCCAACCCCAGTTCCCCCTCCTCCCAGTCTCCCCACCTCCTGTCTGCTCCTCTGAGAGGGTAAGCCCTCCCTAGGAAGTCTTCTAAGTCTGTCCCATCATCTCACTAAGGCAGGACCAAGGCACCTCTCCACCCCATACACCCCTGTGTCTGGGCTGAGCAAGATATCTCCTCATATAGAATGCACTCCACTAAGTCAGATTGACACAGCACATATTTCAATGGTGAAAAAAAAAAGTAGAAACAGAACCAGAAGAGTAGGGCAATGATTAGTGTTGGGAGTTTCCATGTCAAACAGGTGGTGGGGAGATGTTAACCCTTGAGTTGAGACTAGAGGGAGCAGAATAGAGGTAGACCCTGCGAACTTCTCAAGTGGTAGAATCCTAAGTGGTGACAGTGAGTGTGACAGGTCTTAGGAACAGGAATAAGCCAATGTGACTGGAAAGAATGAGTGTGAGGGAATGCAGGTTGAGCTATATACTGAATCATAGAAGGCTGTTTGCAAGGAATGTGAATCTAGTACTAAAGATTGCCAAGACCTAGCCTATTTATTTCCATAATTCCCTTTTACTGCCACAAGGGACATGGATGAAAGGAAACCAGTGGAAGCAGGCTATTGCATATCTGCATGACAGCTATTAGCAGTCCCAGATGAAGGAGATATGTTGAAATGGAGTGGGCCCACATTTTATGTGTACCTGCCTACAATTTGCAAATGAACTGGTTGTTTCTGTCAGTATTTACTCCTTTTTCATAACAATACCCACACACTTAAGATGATTGCTTGTATCCTCAAGATGTAAGATGTATGCTAGCTCCTCATATTACTTCCTAGTTTTGTATTTCATCTGAAGTCAGTTTTTCCTATTTTCTTCCTTTATTTGAATTCACAGCAGTGATCAAATCTGTTCCCTGGCCTCACATCTCTAGTAAGACTAAGTCCATAACAGAAAGAAATCTGAGAAAACACTTTACAGTCTACCTCTCCTTCAACAAAATCCCAGCAGCCCTGTGGTCATATGCTTACCAGGAAGCCTGGCTTTTCCATTCACAAAGTCTTTGCAGCACATGTCATGTATGAAGGATCTGTTTTCTTGGGAACTCTTGCTTTACATACTAATAAATAGATGAGAGTTAAGTCTCATTCTCTCATCAGAGCTAGTGGTTATATGGCTGACTGAGAATTTAATACCCTTTACTTACAAGTTTGAGAGTTTAATTTGTAGTTCATCTGTCCATCATAGAAATAATTATGACTAATCAGTATTTTCAAGTATGCATAATGACTGTCATATTTGGGTGCAGGGACAAACTAGTGAAGTCAACATAACTGTGAAAAGTAAGACTACAGTTTCTAGTATGACTTTATTCTAATAAAATCCTTTAAATATGGAGAATAAAGAAAAAAGCAATCCTTGCTTTCATACAGAAGCACAAACTTAGATATATGAAAAAAACTGAATGTCTAACTTAGGCTTAGTCTGAGAGGAATTGGATTTAATAGTTCATCATTTAGCTGCCGAAGTTCATCTTGCATGGATACAAGTCAGTAGCAAGTTCTTGTTGCTTCATAAACTATCTGCTTAAAACACAAGAAATTTCAATACCTTTTTAGAATGTTTCTTGAGATGTTAACTAAACCTATATATACACAAATAGAGGCTGCAGGTATCTCAATATATCGTAATTTGAACAATCATTTTCTCCATTTCACAGATAATGATGTTGACAGTGTTTAACTGACATTATATATATGTTAGATTTTTAAATTTTTAAATATCAAGAGTTTTCATCATCTCTTAGTGGTGACTGGTGTATTGAGATATAATAAAAGAATTAAGTATGTTTTCTCACTGTTTGCCACTGAAGACCAACCAGAGAGTGTGTTTGCACTATAGAGCAGAACTCTGAAGCAAGAGCAGTGCCTTCATTTCTGAAGAAAACCAGTAGAAATATATAGAACATACAACTAGAAAAATGTGAACTGCCTGGGCTGCAGTTGTTTGTGACAACTGAATTGAAGTAGGGTAACGATGAATGCAGGCAGAGGTGTGCTACTCTAAGAGGTGAGAAACAGGATGGCTTTAGCAATCTTTCTGAAGATAACATCAGAATGGTTATCTTCACCCAATGTGACTGCAAGAGGCTGTTTGCAGTGGAGCAGGAAAAACAATGAACAAAACAAGTGTATGATAATTAGGTTGGAAACTACAGCATCAATGTGGTGGACATCTCCTTTCCTCTAAAAAGTCCCAAACATCTTATCATGCTACTTCTGTTAATGAAAAATGATGGTTCATGTTGTGCTCTTAGCCCCTCCTCTCTCTATTTGATGATTTGTGGATTTGAACAACTCAGGGCCTTTACATGCTAGGAAACTGATCTACACCAAGCCTTGTCCTCGGCTTTGTCCCTCTCCATTCTCTCCATTCTGGTTCTTACTCATGGTAGCAGGTCTTTGCCACCCCTTTCTTGCTCTTTCACTTGATCTCTCTCTCTCTCTCTCTCTCTCTCTCTCTCTCTCTCTCTCTCTCTCTGTGTGTGTGTGTGTGTGTGTGTGACGCATGAAATATCTTAAACAATCTTACTCAGAAATGCTACCCATCACTTTAGAAATGCTGGAAATGTTCAGAGTAGTGATGTTTTTTTTTGTCCT